TTTTTGGTAACAAATAGTACTCGCAGATCGGATTCGTCACCTCTAAAAATTGGAAATGTAACTGACGATTTTACACCGCTGCTTCTATTTTGTGAATTAACCGAAGCTTGCATTCGTTCGACTGCTTGGCATAACTGACTAACTTGGTCTTCCATTTCTGCATAGGCTGGTGCAAGAGACAACTGATTTGAGTCTAAAGAATTATGTCGACTATTAACAACTGAGTCATTACGAGCTTCGAGAGAATCTTCGCTTACATTTTCACGATTGGAAATATTTTCTCTGGTCTTGACGCTCTCATAAATAAGATCTTCTTCGGAGTCAGAACTTTGGCTACCGGTACAAGAAGAAACTAGAGAACATTCACTAGGTGTAGGAATTCCACAATAAGCCTTCGATTGTGCGTCAGCCCTCGGCGATCTATTAGCTGATTTAAAAAGTGAACGAAAGAATGGTACTCTAGATTGCTGAACGGGTGGAGGAGGGGCTGGCCACTCATTCGAACCCGAACCTACAGCTAAGTTTTCCTGGTGAACAGCTTCTTCAGCCAGGTAAAACCCCTCAACAAATTTGGAGCACCCCTTGCTGAAAGTAGTAGAAATAAGCAGTGGAACAAGAGAGAGAATAAAGAAGAAAATTACAGAATCTCAGTACCTCTTGTTAATTAGCCAAGCGAGTGGTAAAACCCCTCAACACACGTATGGAATAAGGTAAGCCATTTTTATTTAATATTTTCACTTTTAACTATCTCTATGGCTATATTGCAGAAAATCCCATACAAATCCTTATAAATCGATATGCAAATTGTGTTCTTTGTGTGGTTCTCAACGAGAGCTTGGGCCGCCTGTGAACAGAACGGCACGGACTCCCCATGTGGCTTTAGTTGTCGCATCGCTTTATCGCCTTCGAACTGTATTTTTGCTTGTCGTAAGGGTTTTCCTTTTGTGTAAGAAATGATCGGGTGATTAGTAAAAATAGTTTTCGGCAATGGCTAATTGTGTATCCGAAGGCGGAAATTGGGAGTTTGTGAAAGCCATTTCTAAGCCATCAATGTGTTTTCCCCGATGCATTTGCATGGTCAATGATCTCACTAACCCTTTCCGACGTGCTTTTTATTATCGGTGCTTTGAGAGGTTTGAAGTGAACTCTGTTGTTGAGTTGCACTTTGGCCTCTTTTGTTTTTTCTGTCTTATTCATGATGACTATTGTTGTGAGGCTTCGGTGAGGTTTAAAGCAGAGTTTGTTTCAAATCTTTTAGAGCCGTGACCTCATTGCTTTACAAAGTATTTTTTGGCTTAGATGCAGTCTGCAAGTAGCGTTATGGCAATTTTCCAAGTAGCTCTGAAGGGCGATAGAAACTGAACCGGTGGCATTCAGTTTGATATAAAACAGAAGTGGTTCTTTGTTTTGTCCGTGAAAGGTGTAACGGAGGCGCATTCGTCTTGCGAATAAATCTCGCTATAGTTGGCCTGATTTTAAATTCGTTTGTCACGGGCGTTGGGGTGAATTTGAGACCCTTTGATAGCACGCTGACTTGGCTGTCAGATGGTTGATAGTTTGACAGGTTTTTAAAGAAATTTTTATTTTCTCGGTTTTTTGGCTGCAAGCCTACATTTTAAAGCGTTTTTACGCTCAGTGTCTTAAGCTGTTTGTTTTGCTTTCGCTGATATTAAAGCCAGCTTTTTTTAGAATCAGAGCACACAATTATATTTTTCATCTCTTTTGTATAAAAGTGAGCTCTTTGAGGTCAGAAATCTCAATCCTCAATTCGGCTATTTTATCATTCTTATTTACAATGTTCACCGAGCACTTTCCTTTGTGTAAGGTATTCTGCCAGAGAGTTGTTAAAGGTGGATATTGATCAGCTCATATGTAAAGGTGACAAAATCCGTGGAGGTTCGTAGACTTCGCTTTCCGGCGTCGAGATCGCACTGAGGACGGTTTTTCTTGTCCCTTCTCTTCTTGAACGGTAGGCGCTGAACCCGACAGAATTTCTCGCCTAGATCCTTCAAAGTACACAGATCTTTCGAAACAGTTCTCCGAGAAGTGTTCGGAGTAGATCAGAAATATTTCTGGAAGTTTACTCGGCGAGGTCGCGCAAATCGCATCCGTTTTTCCCGCTCTGATCTATTTGCAAGGCTCCGATGCAGAGAAATACCTGCAGCATGGTCTGCACGATTACTTCAGCTTTGAATTACTCATCGGTGCCCAGTCATTTTTGTTTAGTTTTTGTAAGAATAGAGTAAAGTACTCTGTTATGTTTGCTTAACATTTTGCCATGTGAGGTTTTCGCGTTGAGCCTTTGACGATACTTCCTCTGAGTCCTGCGATCAACTTCCGGAACATGATCAAATAATGGCGGACGCGAAATCGTGAATTTAACGGCCCGAAAAAAGATATTTTTGGTGCTCGGTCTAAGCTGAGATTTGGCAGAGTAGGTGAAGGAGACACGAAAAATGGAAAAAAAATGTTGTACGAAAATTTTGATCTCAGGGGCACTTTAAGTAACTCACATGAAATTTAAGAAATGTAAACCATGATTGTGAAAATTTTATTGGACATAAAATAAATATGTCTTCATAAATAATCCACGACAATTGAGAAAAAACAACGATTATTGTTAAAAATCATGCTTTGTAGGTGGGTGAGTTCTCAGTTCACATCATTTTCTTTTCATAAAAGGAGTAGGAGGAGGAGCAAACATACAATGCTTACCCTTGGCTCCTCGAGTGCAATGAAAAAGTAAGTTTTAACCCCTGCAGGTGTATCATGTAGCTAATAGCATACATTACTAATTACGAAAATTATTGATTACTTTGAGCTAGCTATCATAAGATCTTAAGTAATTTCTTAAATATATCTACAGTGCTTGTGGAGCTTCTGATTAAAGGAGGCAACACATTTCAAAGCTTAGGTGCAGCTACCATGAAAGAACGATCACTTTGTGCTTTTTATGAATTGCATTAATCATTTTTGTTCATCAGCTGTGGTTAAGGAGGGACTCTCGAAGTGTGAATTCCTCTGGGAGTCGTCTAAAAATGGTTCCAGTCAAATTCTAGTTCTTGGGTCCTGAGCATTTCCATAGGAGCTTCCCACGAATCCAATTTTTTTGCGCTCTCCTCTGCCCGTGTCATTTCTTCTTCTGCTTCCTCGTTTCTTCCAAGACAACGAAGAACAATTGACATGGTTTGGTGAGTGTGAATAAGCTCGTCGTATGTATCTAATACTTCCAGTTGTAAATTAGCTGCCTCTTTAAGGTATTCAAGAGCTCTGAAAGAGAAACAGAAGTACAGATACCGTTTATAAGCTTCTTTCCCTTTCATTTCGAAAGATTGGAAATATATGGATGATGCTCTTACTTAGTTAGTTATTGTTCATACATGATTTAAAGTGATACGTTTCCTTAGATATATTTTTTTCAAATTTCAAGTTCAAACTAAAAAAGGTGACGAAATCGTATTCTAAAACTGTAAATAGTGGGTTTAAGCCATCTAAAAATACAGTTCGTTCTGAAGAAGAATGGTGTCCTTACGGCCAGCTGTATAGAGGGATTTGGGCCAAATTTGAGCTGGGAGATGAGATTTTTACCACCCCCCTTCTACACACACAGACACACAACACACACACCCACACCTTCAGGACCCCCTCAGGAAGGCAAATGGTCTGAGAACAAAGATTATAAGAATTTGCACCTATAGTAAATGCCATAAGGGCGGGTGAAGTTTGTTTTATGAGTATCAATGATGTTTTAAAAGTTTTCTTTAATATTCCCTCCCCTCCACCTTAAAAACAGAAAACCCATCAATCACTCACCTAGGTGCACATCAGTTAACGGTTAGGAAAGCACTCGTGCGTTTTCCCCTCAATTGATCATTGTAAATTAATCCAAGGTTAATGTGTTAAAGGTGCAGTTGAGAAATTAGCTTGTTTTAATCATATCAATAGTAAACAATAAACTTCAAAACTGTCGAAAGCGGATTCTCGCATTGAAATTTTTAACTTAAATACGAAGTCGTCATTCACCTAACAGGAACAAGATATTTGGCTAAGTATGTAGTGAAATGCCTGATAATGCAAACAAAAGTGTCTCATCACCTTTCGAAATCGTTCTTTTCACTGTAAGCCACACCTAAATCATAGAGGGATCTCGCAGTCTCCTGATGGTGCCCCAAAAGCTGCTTTCGGATTTTAACTAACTGAATGACATATTTGATGGCGTTGTCGTAGTCACCTAAAGCATGATAACTGTTTCCAATACAGTTAAGTATTGTAGCCGTAAAAGGGTGGTTCCCGAGGTTCTTTTCATAAACAGGAAGCACATGGCGGAGTCTTATTTCGATAGCAAGCAGGTGTTTGCTTTGCACCATTAGAGAGGCTGCAACAAAAATATCATAGGAATTTAAAAAAAACAATAAATTTGCCTGAATGACCTTGAATTTAATTTCGCTTTCTTAACGTTGGGGCCGTTTGACTCGCATCGACCTCCCAGAGCCCTAAAAGTGGTTTTCCAATTGCAGAGAAAATAAAGCAGGAGTCTCCAGTACTGCCTGCTTGATGCAACTAGATTGCAAGGTGACATTAAGTTTATTTAAGGTTTCAGAGGAAGTTAAAAGTTGATTGCAGACTAGCATTCGATAATAAGTGATCTACAGCTGTCTTTTCCATATTTCTTATGATGAAAGCCCAAAGAAATTATTATTGAGGAAAAGCAATTATCCTTGAAGGTATCCTGTGATTTTAAGAAATGCAGAAAAGAAGAACAAAAAATTCAGGCTTCGACGGGACTTGAACCCGTGCCTCTCAACATACGTGTGGCTTCGCAGTTTAGTTGGTTATCTAGTTCTGGGATGCACTGCTTCGAATCCCGTCGAAGCTTTTCAGGCTTCTCTGCAATTAATTAAATTACAGTGGCCATTACTTTACTTGATCTTCACCCGCAGGTCAGCTGAATGAATTTTATTGCATTGATAATTGAGAAATGCTATTTCTACCAACCGGCAAAATCGTTGTGACAAGCTGCCAATATGATTTTGGCTTCGATCTTTCCCGATATCTTTGCTCTTTCCCGTTGAATTTTGACCGCTTTGTTGAGATACTCAAATCCCTCATACAACCGTCCTTCACGAACACAACAGAATCCTAGTTTACTCAAGCACTGTGAACGAATGGCCGCATTCCCATTCGTTAGCCCCGACTGAGTTTTCAATGCACGTAACAAAAAGCTCTTGGCCCGATACAACGCAGATGGACAGATTTGGGGTGTGCAAGTGCAGCTCAAGACTATTTTCATTCCGATATGTGTCAAGCAAGCGCTGTGGAGCATGTCGTTCGGACATCGTTTCGCAAGCTTGCAGAAAAGCGATTCAAACTCTTGCTTTCTCATCATCTTGGCGAGAAAGATGGCTGCCTTGTTGAAAGCGCCTATGTACTCTTCCCTGACCGTTTGGCGGAGCTCGAGATGATCATTTCCACACCAATCCATGGCCTCTCGGATGTTTGTTTTTTCAACCCAGTCGCGATCAATTGCAGACTTGGAATCACTACTCCAAAATTTCACACAGAGTTCTTCAGCTTACTTGCTATAGTGACGAATGAAAACTGATTTGGCATTTGAGTGGTTGGGTTTCTCTGCGAAAAAATTTCTTATGAATGGATGTAGAGAATAATGACCAGTCAGTCGCTCATAGCAAAGGAGGCTGCTATGCTTTAGACAGCTCAGGCCATTCTGTGTGTCTTTCAGACTGAGTGAAGATTTGAACACGTCAACAAATTGTTTCTGAGTGAATCTGTACGGAAATGTGGCAATCATCACGAGAACGTCTTGGTTATCTTGATTAAAACGATCGAAACAAACTTGGAGACATTTATCGATGCGATCCTCGTTTGCTATATGTTCTGGGCAAAGATTTGTGGATCACTCACAGTTTCTGAGCAACCAGTCGATTTTAAATCGTCACGATTTATAAGTCACTCGATAAACGATTTAAAGCGAGACTCGTTTGTTTGTGAATAGAAACGAGACTCGTT